TCAACTTTACTGTTCAGTGCACTGATGTCAGACTCATTTTGGATAATAAAGTTAATTGTTAAATGCCCTGCCTCCATTACGTATCTGTCACATCATTATAAGTGTTTGATCACCACATTTGAGTGATCATTGCAAAAAATATGTTTATGTATATATATATTCTGTTTATGTATATACTGTATTCTATACTGTATATAGTACCAGTCAAATGTGTGGACACACGAATGGGAAAGTGTCCAAACTTTTGACTGGTACTGTACTATAATATACACAAAGAATATCGGCCGATATATCGATATCTGCCTTTTTTTACTCCCTAATATCGGTATCTGCCCCAAAAAACCCATATCGACCGGGCTCTAGTTTTTATTATGGAGTTTTTCAATTGTCTGTCTTGAATATAAATTGGCAATATTTTGCTCTACATCATAAATTACACACACCCACACTGAAAACATGAATTTTAAAGCAGTTATGTTTATTTTTGAAAACATATGTTTGTAATAAGTAATTACAAAGTAAGAACGTTTAGGGTGTGAGTATATGCAGTTTACGTTACACAAAAAAGCGTCAAAGTATCATCAAGTTATGTTTACCACAGACCTTAGTTTACTCATGCATTAACATAATGGCTGCAGCACTCTATATTCAAGACAATATTCAAAGGCCCCTCATATAGATATGTCTGGTACTTCTGATGTAACTAGAAAAATTTAGATTTAGTGTAGAAATTTTGATGATTTGTAAGATTTTAATAGTTTCTTTTCCAGGTCTAGAAATCTCACTTTTTAAAATTCCCAGTAACACTTTATTTTACAGTGTCCTTGTTACATGTTACATGTATTTATTATAGTATTAAAAGTAAGTTATGTATAATTATATGCAACAACCCTAAACCAAACCCTAATTCTAGCCCTAACCTTATAGTAAGTACATGTTGTTAATTAATATTACCCAGTACTTAAATCTATAATTACACTGTAACAAGGACACTGTAAAATAAAGTGTAACCAAATTCCCTCATATATTTTATAAGACCGTGGATGCCTGGTCTAAAATGTTAGTTGTTGGGGGAATTAATTAAAATAATAAATCTGATGTTAGTTTACATTTTGAATTTTAAGCTGTTTTTTATTTTGAAGCTTGTTTTGTCTTATTTTAAATAATTTTAAGCAGAGCTGATCCTCCCTATACGCAAGCTGCGTAGGGCCCCCGAAACACCAGGGGGCCCCCTTGCTCACAAAGATGATTTAATTTTAGTTTCGTTTTTGAATTTGGCCAGCGGTTATGAAAACATAAATTATTATTTCTTTTAATGCGGTGCGCTGTCGCCCTTTCTATGTAAAAATCAGTCAAATCATGTAATGTGAATGTCGTACAGTCTTGCTCGAGACTAAAAAAAACTAGTTGAAAGCATACTGAGCTGCGGTAGAGACACTGTTTCTCAAGCGCTTTCCGCGAGCGCGATTCAAGACGGAGTGAAACACGGACAAATGAGTTTCATTCATTTGTTCATAACCACTCATACAGTTTTGCGTAGGGCCCCCAGAAGAGTAAGATCGGCACTGATTTTAAGCCATTTTGTGACCCCCTTTTAAGTACTCTGAGGCCCTCTAGTAGACCCCGGACCCCTGGTTGAGAAGATGACAGACGATATCATTAGCTCAGGTGCTTTCCGTGAGCGCGATTCGAGACGGAGTGAAACACGGACAAATGCGTTTCATTCATTCGTTCATAACCACTCATACCCCCCCTCCCCCGCCGCCGACACAGTTTTGCGTAGGGCCCCCAGAAGAGTAAGATCGGCACTGATTTTAAGCCATTTTGTGACCCCCTTTTAAGTACTCTGAGGCCCTCTAGTAGACCCCGGACCCCTGGTTGAGAAGATGACAGACGATATCATTAGCTCAGTATAAAAACAAACATGTGGGTGTGTGTTGTTCCTCCATTGCCACCCCTTCATGCAACATATTGAGATGGAATTGTGTATGACAGTGTTTGTATAAACATGTGAGCGTGTGCATGTTAGCAAGTGTCTGAAGTGTCAGTCTCAATCTGATTCTGCCCTCCTCGAGTGTGTGTATGCCACAACACGTATCGTCTTGGCTGGTTAAGTATGCATTTTTTGCATATTTGCTTTTCTGTTTTCTCTTTCTCTGTTAGATCTCATATGGTAATGGTGAGAGTGTGGAGGTGGATGGGCGGCTCGGGCAGAAGTTGGTGACTAAGCTGAAGCCACAGTCTCTCTACACCTTCCTGTTGACCAGTAAAGCTGATGGCACTGGAGGCCTGCAGCACCGTGCAGATGCCATGACGGCTCCAAACCTGCTGACCAGGAAACCCCAGCTGCTGGACAAGACCAGCTCTCAGAGCATCGCTACCCTGCAGCTGCCCACTGTCCAGGGACAGGATAATGTCAGGTCAGGAAAATACCAATGAAAATAAACTTTTCAAAAAGTTAAAAATAACAGTTTTCTTTTTAAAGATATTTTAAGATATTTTAGTATCATTTATCACTGTTATGGCAAAGCAGAATTTTCAGCAGCCGTTACTCCAGTTGTCAGTGACATATTATTTGTAATATTGTCATTATAATATGCTGATTTGGTGCTCAAGAAACATTTATTATTATTATTATCAATGTTGAAAGCATTAATATTTTTGTGTAAAAGCAGAATTTTGATGAATAGAAAGTTCGAAAGAACAGCATTTATTTGAAATATAATTTTAATAATATGGAATTCATTAATGTAGAATGTATTTTTTGTAATAATGTAGAAGTTTTTACTATCACTTTTTATGAAATGCAGCCTTGCAGAATAAAATATACATAAATGCATACACACACACACACACATACACACACACACACACATACACATACACACGCACGCACATATATATAACCCTAACCCTATGCTGACCTAAAACAAAAAATATTTTCATTGATGATTTTTGTCAAAATTTCATAATTTCACAATGCAAAAATATTTAATGGTCTTTATAAAAACTTTTTTTTTTTTTAAATAACCCAGACTTTTCTTTCACCCGTAATAATATAATATCATGTGTTTTTGTTTTGGAAGGGGTTTCTACATTGTGGTTGTCCCTCTGAAGAGGCAGAGAGGAGGAAACTTCCAGAATTTATGGAGTGATCCAGATGAGATGAACATTGATGAGGTAATACATTTTTGTAATCAGATGCTGACGTTGTCATTTCAATAGTTTGTACAATTTTGATCAAGTCGTTCACTATCATTATTGAAAAAGCTGTTGAAAGCTTAAAGCACATGTTGGTTCAGCAGAAGGGAGTTGCAGTGTCTGTTGTGATTAACTCCTTTTTTCTGCTTTCTCCAGCTGCTGAGGGAGATTAATGGCACTGGTCACTCTGTGCGTCTACGGAGGCAGGCGGAGGCAAAACCGTACATCAGCGCTTATTTGCAGAATCTTCCAGCTGAATTCAAACTTGGAGACGGACGTGTGTATGGAGCATTCGTGAACCGACCACTTGTAAACGGACAGGAGTGTGTGTGCTTCGTGCTGGCTATTCTTGAACTGGGCCAGAACGTAAGTCTTTCTTTTCTCTCTCATGTTGGAGTATTTTGGGGTCCATTATGATAATGAAGTGATTAGGTTTACTGTGTTAAATAATTTCATCATTGTGTGAGCATCCTTTCTCAAATTATGATATTATTTTTAAAGGGGTGAATGTCTCAAAATGTGGGGGCAAAACTTAAAACGCATTTTTGGAAAAAAAAAAAAGATACTTTTCACTTTTATATAAAAATTATTTTTAAATATTTAAAAATTAATATTACATGTAATTTTTTATATATTTTTAAAATTTGAAATATTATATAGCTATGTGTCTATTCGATCTTTGATTGACAGACCTTGTACTCCACGAGTCCATTCTCTGATGCCGTGCTGTTCTCCGATGTTGAGCCGCAGCCAATCGTAGACGAGGAGGAGGGGCTTCTGTGGGTGGTGGGGCCAGTGCTGGCCGTCATCTTCATTATTAGCATTGTCATCCTCATCCTCCTCTTTAAAAGGTGAGAGAGAAAGAGAATTGAGCAGAAGAGTGATTGAGAATTTGATGACATTCATGGGAATTTAAACATTTAAAATGGAAAAATCATAGGTCTATGGTGAACATACATTTTTCTAATTATGCTCTGCTCTACGTTTTTCTGAAAACCAATTGCTGTATCTCCTAGCTATTGCTTGTGTAAACTTAAAACCGGAGTGTTTGTGAGTGAATCATTCATTCGAGTCAGCCCTTTTAAATGAATCTCGATTCACGATTCACTCATTTGAATGAAAATGGAAAGGAATGAGAGGGTAATAAGCAAAGGAATGAAAATGATAGATGCTTTATATTTTACTTCAGCAGAAGCTGATTTTATTTATCCCTAATTCTTTTTTCTTCCCTCACTTTATCCGTGCACAAACCAGCAAACCAGACAGGTCTGTGTATTATGTTTCTCTCTAAATCTAATTATGACCGAAATGCAATAGAAACTATTTCCTGCTAAGTGAGTGTTGCTTTAATGCTCCTGCGCGTGTGATGTTACAGGAAGCGGGCAGAGCTGGAGGGCAGGAAGTGCAGCTTTCCCAGCAGCAGTAAAGCCATGAGTTCCCAGCATCCATCTGACCCAGTGGAGCTGCGTAGAATCAACTTCCCAACGGCTGGTAATATGCTGATGAAAAGACATGTCACAAACACACTCACACACAGGTACAGAGTGCTGAAGAATCAGCTTTCAGTCCCCCTTTGATGCACACACACTGTCTGTATCAACACAGTGTTGTCTCTTTTCTAGGTTTGCGTGCATCTATCATCGGTTATCGACGGTTATCAAGTTAGTTGTGGTTTTTGGAGTCTATACTGACTGCTTAACTGCCATTAACACATATGCAGTAACCGCTTTGGCTTTCAGTAACCAGCAAACACTCATGCACACATACTTTCCATCATATGTTGGACTTTCCACTGACTTCATATGTTTTATATTTAGCTAATGATGTTTTCTATCCCCTAACCTCTAAACCCTCACACAAGCTTTCTGCATTTTTAGCTTTTCATTAAGTCATTGTTTAGTGTTTATTAAGATGTTTCCTCATGGGGACCATTGGCTGATTTCAGGTTTTTACTATCCTTTTGGGGATATTTAGTCCCCACAATAACGGCAAAAACTGATCTATACACACAGATGTGCACACAATTATAGCTAGCCAGAGATATTTTTCAATAAAGCCAGCTATATTAAAGATTACAGTAATTCAGTGTTGAATCGATGTTGATCTTGACTTTGTTGTAATGCAGCTATTGCAGACATGAAATGAACTCTTCTCAGTGATATTCTAAATGCAGCAATATTGATTTCTGCTTTAAGTTTAATTTGATCTGATTCAGCTGTTTCGTTGTTTATTTCATCTTGTCTAATACTTCTGACTGTCTTGTAATCTATACCCTCCCTTGCGCTCATTCAGTGTAGTTCAGATTTTATTTCTAGAGATTTTAGAGTGGGATGTGAATATCTGTCTGGGTGGAGACCAGTCCCCTCCCACAATCAAAAAAAAAAAAAATCATATATCATGAAATAATTGTAATAAAGTTTTCTGTGAGGCTGTTTACTTAATTAAATATAACATTTGTGTATATTCTTTTCTGCTGAGTAGGTAAAACTGTACATGCATTTTCAATGACTTACAACTATTCACCAGACTATAGTAAATAGTCTAAACTTTTCTATTTAAATAAAGCTTTTGTTTTAGTTTATAGATGCCTAGTGTATCATTTGTCATTTAAAAAAATAACTGACAAGCTTACATTTTGTGAGCTTTAAATTATTACTGTTCAGTTATTATTTGTGTGGACAATAATTGTATAAAACATTAAATATACAGTGGGTACGGAAAGTATTCAGACCCCCTTAAATTTTTCACTCTTTGTTATATTGCAGCCATTTGCTACCACTAGCCATCCAAACCATCAATATTATTACATTTAGAAAATGACTGAAAGAGTGCCTGTTGTGAATTAATGACTGTTGCTAGCTGGATACAAACAACTGCACTACAAACTACCCCTAAAATAATATTTTTAAAATAAAATAACATTATGCCTTTTATGAACACTTTTCACTTTTGAAAGCAGCCTAACATGATGTTTCATCAGATTCAACCCTGTAAAGTCCACTTTCTACTGTATCATATTTGATGCATACATTTCTAAGGCCTCTAAATTATCAGCGTGATCAAAAGTGAAAAACTTTCCCCTTCGGGTCGTGGTACATGCGTCTTTCTGCTGCGAAATCTTTACTTGTTTTAATTAAGTAAACGTGAGAATAACTTTTATATAGTAATATTTCAAGATGGACACTTACTGGACTGAAGCAGCTTAGGTTTACTTGATTATCCACGTATCATTTTGTTTTAGTTTTTTTGTTTTTAGAAAAATCATGTTAAAATGTGAGTATTAAATATTGTGTGTTCCATAATATGTTTTGCATTCCACAACTATAACCCCACAAACTACAGAGCTTTTATCATAAAACTAAGCATTTAAATATCATCTTAATAAGACATCATTTATTTGGAGGTATAGACTGATATTTATATGCATTTTATGTAAGTAGTCTGCTTTACTGTTATAAAGATCTCATTGATTTACATTACAAACTAGAATTGAGTCTTACTTTTGGCCATTTAAATATCAGCAACTGCACCAAATTGCATATTTATGCACAGTTTGGGCCTCTGAATAAAACTGTTTTTCCCCCTCCTCGAGTATGAGCTTGAAATTCTCTTATTTCATAATATATTTTAGATTTTTTTTTTTATCGTCGAATAAACTCTTCCATTAAAAACAATTTTAAATGATATTTTTTGTATATCAGGCTTTACAGGGTTAACTTCTTTTAGCAGTTTTCTCCCGAAAAACACATACACTCATGAACGCTAGTGCTAAAACATAGATGAGATCACTAACATTCTCTCACACTGCTCAGAGCTCTCAGTCCAGTAGCATGCCGTGTTCTCAGGGTCTGAACTGGTGTGTTTGTGGGATGTGATTGACAGGCATGACCAGCCACCCTCCAGTGTCCTTCTCAGAACTGCCAGCTCACATAGAAAGGATGAAAGCCAATGACAACCTGAGGTTCTCTCAAGAGTATGAGGTCAGATCTCACATTAGCACCACATTTTTAGCATACTATAACATGCTTTGAGTTCCTTTGAGTACTTTTTTTGTGTGAGCGCTAATTTCATTGCACAGGCCATGTGATGTTTGTAACGTGAAGTACAGTACAGGCATGTCCAGTGTGAGGTGTAATTCATGACACGCTTCTCTCTTGTAGTCTATTGATCCCGGGCAGCAGTTCTCATGGGAACATTCTAACCTTGAGATAAACAAGCCAAAGAACAGATACGCCAATGTCATCGCCTACGACCACACCAGAGTAGCACTCTCCAACAATGACGGTGAGAGCATGGGTGCACAGTATGTCAATACTGCTGTTTCTATGTGTGTATTTGAGTGAAATATCACATTTGTTCATCTTAAAGGGGTGCTATAATGGGAAATCAACTATTGGCGCTTTTCCACTGCATGGTACGGCACGGTACGGCTCCCGCAGGTTCACTTTTGGGAGGTTTTCCACTGGGTACAGTACCTGGTACCTGGTACTTTGTGGAAAAGCACCAATATGGCATATATGTTATTACCCATTCACATTTTTGTTATCTCTAAATGTACACATACTGTACCAAGGTTGTTATTGTAAACTAAAAATAAAACTATTCATTTTTTTGGTACATGAAATAAAGCTGAAATAAAATAAAATATTATAAATATTAGATAAACTTAACTGGATGCTGCCAACTTAATTACCTTGATAACTAACCGAAATACATTTGTACTAAAATTACTAAAATTAAAAATGAATCATTAAATAGACATATAAAAAATGACAACACATAACAGAATTACTAAATTTTAAACTAAAATTAATATCACAGCAAAAAAATATAACTAATTATAATCTAATATATTAATTAGTACTACGATGATATATAAATATATATATATATATATAAAATGTATATTTAATACTATATAATATAATATATATACTTAATGTTTTTTTATTTATTTTTTTTATTCTATTTAATTGTTTGTATTTTGTATATGCTTA